AGGGCAGCCACACACCTGTGATTCAGGAGCAAGAGAGAGAGAGAGAGAGAGAGAGAGAAAGAGAAAGAGATAAGTAATTTTTTGATCCTTGAATTGAGTTCAGCATCCCAAGAGTGCAATTGAGGAGAAATTCCATCCTCTATTTTGAGTAATCATTTCTCAAAATTGACTTATCTTCAAGCAATCGGAACAATGTGGTAGAACCAGAAATAAAACAAGGATCAAAGACATAACACCTGGACAAGAAAAAATATTTTTGGGGTGAATGAACAATTTTAGTTTACATAAGAACTTACTTATAAGTCAATTTGATACCACTAAATTACTTTTTAAAAAATTATTTTTATTTTATGTGTTTTAGTGTGTTGCCTGCATGTATGTGAGTGCACCTGTGTCATGTAATGCAACAGAGGTCAGAAGAGGGCTTCGGATTCCCCTGGAACTGGAGTTAAGGACGGTTTGTAGCTGCAATGTGGGTGCTGGGAATCGAACCTGGGTCCTCTGCAAGAACATTCAGTGCTCTTAACCACTGAGCCATCTCTCCTGCCCATCCACTAAATCACTTTTAAGAAATGTAAGCTTATGTAGACAGCACATAGATATGTAATCATAAATAAGAGATTTTAGTAACCAAGATTTTTGTAATTACTCTTTGTTGAGATTATATTTCCTGTTATTCTCATTGTGAAAAGGAAACTTAACACAACTGCCCACAAACCTATACATCCATCATTTTGCATATAGTCTATCCTTAACAAAAACTTTATATTTAGGAGTTTTATAACAGGAACACTTGAAAAGAATGATTTTGCCATCTCTGACCATCACAGAACTGAAACAAAAATTTAATTAATTTATATTTGTTTAGAACCTGTTTTGAAAGAAAATCATAATATACTTCCTGATTTTAATGAACATTGTTTCACATAAAAAGTATTTAAAAATTGTGTGAAACATTGAATAGACGTAAAGACAATGTTCAAAAGATTTTAAGATATTTAGGGTGCCCAAATTTATAAGACCTTTTATGGGCGTGCGGGTTTCACGGAGCGCCAGCTGCTGGGCGTGGCACTGGTCTCCCTCACGCCGCTGGGGGGACGTGGGGTGGGTCGCGCACCACGTCTGCTGAGACTCTCTGCTACTGGGCCTGGCGGCTCTCGAGGACCCCTGTCAGCTACCCGGTCAGGTTCCGTCCCAATCTACCGAGCACTCCCTCTGGGTTCGAGATCCCTCAGCTGCCGGGTCACGAGAGGAGGTGTGGGATGGCGAAAGCAGGGTCTTCGTGGGTCGATGATGGAAGGATAGCCCCCCCCAGACTGGATCACAGGATTTAGTGTTACAGCTTCAGACAAGTGACTCAGCTCAGGTCTCAGTGATTCAGCTCCAGCTCCAGCTTTATTGGGGTAAAACTAGGATTATTTATAGTGTGGAGACAGTAGAAAAAGCCTTAGCTGATAGGTGCTCCTGGAATGCTTCATTTACATGGGGTGGTGGGCTTCTATCAGGCTATCAGACAATGCCTGATTAAGACCTGGTAGTTTCTGTGCCAGAGGGCATGTATCTGTGATGGGCATTTCAAAAGTAAGTCAGGGAGGAGAGCAGAAGTCACCCGGCTGAGAAGGGGAGTCTCCCCATTTGCGCCGAGCCGGCTTGCGGCTATCAGGACATGGGGAGACTGCTACCCTAAACAGCAGGGGTCCCCAACACCTTTGAATACATCAACAAAATACATTTATAAATATGTGCATGTGCATTTTAATTGGGCATGCCAAAAGAAAAATAAAACCAATAATTCCTGTGTACAATAAAAAGAATGAGAAGGGAAAAACTAAAGTGACCATAGTTTGTTTTAAAAATTGTTTTGAATCTGGGCGTGGCAGTGCACACCTTTAATCCCAGCACTCGGGAGGCCGAGGCAGGTGGATCTCTGTGAGTTCAAGGCCAGCCTGGTCTACATAGTGAGTTCCAGGACAGCTGGGGCTACAGGGAGACCCTGTCTCAAAAAAGACCAAAAAAATTGTTTTGACAAAAACAACACATGAAAACAATTATCATAGAGACACATGACACAATTAGGTGAGATCTCAAATGACACATCAAAACATAATGTGTTTTAATATTTCCCTTCAAATTTAAAACCACTTTTTCTTTCTTTGCTAGTGTTTTTGCTGATGCTGTTGTTTTTTAGTGAATAGTCAGCAGCAATTCCATGGCTAAAACTGAAGGCAAATTATGTAAACAAAAATTTCTAGGGGCTGGAGGGAGCTCAGTAGGTAAGAGCACTGGCTGCTCTTTCAGATGACCCAGATTTGGTCCCAGTGCTCACATGGCAACTAACAACAATCAGTAACTCCAGTTCAGGGGATCCAATGCACAGGTGCAATTACACACACACAGGTGAGACACTGATTCACATAAAATAAAAGTAAATAACTCTAAAATAAAGAAAAAGAAGTTACTAAATACTACATAATACTAAAGGGAAACAAATTAGGCAGTGGTACTTAAGGATTTCTTCACAGCAATGTTTTTTTACTTTGGATCCATCACATGTCCATATACAAATCTGGTTGGCTGGTCAATGGCATGACTGGTTATGACCATAGGCTCCATCATTAAGGAAAATCTCACAGTGATGCCCACACATTTGCTAAGAGGGCATCCAACATTATCTGTCCATAAGGAGCCAAGCTTCAAATTCAAAACTCCTATTTCCTGCAAAGGGTGATTTGTGAACAACTAAAGGACAATATGCTGTAAAAAGGTCACTCCTCCAGTGATCAAAACACTTTAGCCCAAATGCCTAAGTGTCTTTATACTGGCAGCTTTAAAAAACCTATAGAATTTGCCTATGAATATGAAATAGTGATTTTTATGGAGTAAAACATTTTTTTTCTTCTGACAGCACCATTGACTTGACCACCTTATCATCCTCCAGTAACAACTAGTTTCCTAACAAAATTGAGCTCCACACCCATGAGCTTCATCCTTCAGATGTCAACTTCAAGGGCACAGAAGAGAAATTGCATGATATTGAACATTAACTGATGAAATGAGCAGTGCTGGATGCGTGGAAAAATTCTGCACTATTTTACTCCTGCATTTCACGTGTTCTTATTTCCCAGTTGTCTCCACAACTACTGTTCTGAAAATGATGGTGACAAATGTCACCACAATGAGTGGCTTCCTCCTCCTGGGGTTCTCTGACACCCCAGAGCTGCAGATCTTACACACTTTGCTCTTCTTGGTGATGTACCTGTTGGGCTTGGCAGGTAATTTCATCATCATCACAATCACAACACTGGACTCTCCACTCCAATCTCCAATGTATTACTTCCTGAAGCACCTTTCCATTCTCGACCTCTCCTCCCTGTCTGTCACTGTCCCCCAGTCTATTCACAATTCCCTGACTGGCAGTGGTTACATTTCCTATGCCCAGTGTGTGCTGCAGGTTTTCTTCTTCACATTCTCAGCCTGCGCTGAGGTGGCCATTCTCACAGTAATGTCATATGACCGCTATGTGGCTATCTGCCTCCCATTGTACTATGAGGTCATCATGGGACCCCAAAAGTGCAGGTGGGCTGTGACAGCTGTTTGGATAAGTGGAGGCATCTCAGGAACCTTGTATACAGCAACCACATTCTCTGTCACATTTTGTAAAGCTAAAATAATCCACCAATTCTTTTGTGATATCCCACAGTTGCTCAAGGTCTCCTGCTCCAATAACTTCTTTGGAGTGGCTGTTTTCATGACTGTGGTGGCATTTACCTGCTTCATTGCTGTCACCATCTCCTACGTCCAGATATTCTCCACAGTTCTCAGAATGCCCTCTGCTGAAGGCCGGTCTAAGGTTTTCTCCACCTGCCTACCCCACCTATTTGTTTTCTTGTTTTTTCTATCCACAAGTGCCTGTGCATATCTCAACCCAGCTTCAGACTCTCCAACTGCTCTCAACCTCGTGCTCTCTATCTTTTACACAGTGCTACCCCCAATACTCAACCCCATCATCTACAGTCTGAGGAATGAAGCCATGAAGGGGGCTGTAAGGAAGTTACTGTTGGGTAGAGAATTCATGGGGCAAAAAATAATATTTATCCTGTTATAAGTAGCTGCACATATTATTCTCCAGGAATGATTTTGTCATTAGAACTGTGCACTTTGTCATGTTAATGAAAATAAAAACATTAAAAAATAAACTATGCTAAAACCATCATCATTATAGAAACTCTTCCCTGGATTTCTTTACTAAATCAATTAAGCCCCTTTTCGTTCTTTCAAATTAACAGAGAACAAATAGTTATAACCTAGTCATGTATATTTAGTACATATACATTTTCCAATACATATACAAACAAATACATTCTTGGAAACACCATCAATCATAGCATAAGCCTTGAAAACCTGTGCATGAGCAGTATTACAAAAACAAATAATAATACTATAATGCTATTTACCTATAATTCCACTCACTGATCAAGAGCTAAATTTTAGCTTAACCATTCAAATGACTCTTCTTTTAGTTTCAAACAACTCTTTTTTTACTTCTCTGTACACAAATTTTTCTTATTAGCACAAATTTGCATTCCATTAATATGTACACCTACATAGTTTAACTAATATAATAACTCTTGAATTCACATTGCTTGGTGTTGCTCTTGCTTTCTATCAAATCCCTATCCTCATATCAGGATGTGGAAGACGTCTCAGGGGAGTGTCTGGATCTCTTTGCCCTTCTTCCTGATATAACCTCATTGAGTAAGTCTCCATTTTCTGCTTTCCATTATGAATCTGGCTCCTTCAAATTGTCGTATTAAGGACTGGTGGCCAAACCTGCCTTACTGGGGCACAGGCTTGACCCACATGTCTGTTGAAAATATGGTGACCCAGATGGGAAAATAGGCACATCTAAGAGTGTCTGCTGACTGCAGCTGACCCTGGGTAGAGAGGAAGGATTGAAGTTCCCAGTAGCTGCAAAAGTCATGTGATTCCAGGGACAGGTACCTGACTTCCCACTTCAGCTGACCTCAACCACTTGAGAAACTCTCATCTTTGATGAGTTTCTCTCCAGTTCGGTGCACCTTACTTGACCTTTGCTTACCTCATTAATTTTCAGCTCTTTTGAGAAACTGGGTTTCTTTTGAACCATTTTGGGTGGCTGCCTTTTGGTGCCTGGCTCGTTTTGGGGTGTTCTTCTGTTGAGCACTTTGGGCTATTGTTAATTAGAGAACCAATGTCCCCAGTGGAGAAGAGAAGAGTTTTCAGCAGCAGAGGGAACCTCACCATAACCCAGAGATTGCAGAGATGGGGAGACACTACTCCACTGCTCCTACACTCAAAGGTTTCAGGGAGGGATGGTTAGATCTCCTTTGTTTGGGTTTTGCTTTTTTCCTACAGAGACCTGTGTACTTTAGCCCTCAAAGAAGGGGTCTGTTAGATCCAGGAGAGAATGTGCCTTGGTTTCTTGAGGCAAGGAAGTCAGGCTTTCTAGTGTAACCAATGTCGTAAAGGGACAGGCCTGTAATCTAACAATAATGCTGTTTGTAAGACAGGTCTTGCCAATTTGGAAGGACTTTTGAGCAACTTTGGAGTCCTCTTGTGCACCGGCCATGAGACATGAAAGGTTTGGGCCACTGGGGTTTTGTTGAACCATTTGAGATAGAGAAGCAAGGGTGGTCAGGAAATCTCTGTTGTGATCTATGTAACTATGAAAATATGAATTCTTTTTTCCATTTTATTTCTTTAATTTATCATGTAAAAATACTTTATCTGCACATAGTTCTACAGCTAGAGAAACCTAAAAATAGGAAAGTGAAGTACAGTTGTAAAGAAGAAAAGATTGATGCTAAAAATAATCTGCTGGTGTTGGAGAATGCAATAACTCAGGTAACACGCAAAAGCAAAATTTCTTTAAAAGAAAACATGAACAACATCTCATTTTCAAAAGGCTTATAGCACCATAAAATATGACATTTTATTTTACTGTAGTTAAGTGTTATTTTGGTGGTTTATATAATAGTTAATGTGAGAATATATGTTTTAAGCAATTAGTTACAGTTTGTTGGAATACTTAATGTGTGTTAAGTATTCTTAGTTTGTTATGCTTTAAACACACTCTGACACTACATCTATTCAGTATCTATTAGGCAATATGTTAACTCAAATTAGTAGATGCAGCAAAAGAATATAATAGAATTTACAAGTTTTTCTATCTTGAAGTCAGATATATAAAGTACAATTCTATACACATAAGTAAATACAAATACAAGTAATATCAGGAGAATTAAAATTTACAAATTTCATTATTTCACCTTTCTTTACTGCTGAATAGAACTCCATTGTGTAAATGGATGGATCTAGAAACTGTTATACTAAGCGAAATAACAGACTCAGAAAAACAAAGGATGTATGTTCTCCCTCTCCTAGCACCAAATCCTTTAAATTCCAGGTCCTTCTAATAAGATGATGCTATACAGCAGTCCCTTCTCCATGAAATAGCTACCATCATCACAACTTTGGCTGAGCCTGATCACTAAACATAGTCACAATTGGGCTTGTTGACAGTTGTCTCTTCCATTAAAGGAGTGCTAAGCAGGGTCACTGAACCCCCGCCTGAGTATCCAGCCACTCTTCCAAGCCAACTAGTATGGCCTTAGAAGACAAAAGAAAAATGAGGAAGAATCCAATAAAGGGATGATTTTGGAAGCTCTTGTCAAGAAACTCCAATGGACTCTTATATGAACATTTGAAAATTGCCCTGTTCTTTTTTCTAGTTCCCTGTCTAGAACTTGTAATGCTAATTGCTCTTGCCTTTACTTCTCCTTCACATCTATTCATGATTCAAGGAATTTCTTTTCCCCCTACAGATAATAGTTATGCAATTTGGGAGTCTTTTAGATAGATCCACTGAAGGGGTACTCCAATTGCCTCACCCTGCATCCCCATTCAACATGCAAGAAGCCAGAGCAATCTGTGTCCAAATTCCCTATTGGCAATTTGGGTAATCCCTTCTGAGGATGGTGTGATATGAATAGGATGTAGGAATTGGCTAGGCAGTTATGGTAAAAAGACCCCCAAAAATGTAGTCGGTTTTTGGGCTAAAAGTCAAAATGTCCTTGGGCCTGTTAGCAACACACTCTATTCCAAAGGCCAAAAATGTCAAAACGTCAAAAGCAATTGGGAGCTTGTGTCTAATCCTTAAAAGATTTTAGGGTTACCTCTTCAAAGGGGGGAATGTTGGAGGGAAGGGAGTGGGTATAGATTTGATCAAAACACCTTATACACATGTATGAAATTCTCAATAATGTTTTTGTAAAAATTAAAAAAATAAAAATAAAAAACAAATAAACACACAAAATTAATGTATTAATTATAGTTTAGTAGAGATTTTTCACTCTCTACCCTCATTTGTGTTTCTTTGAGAATTTCATATATGTGTATTGTCTTTGCATTATTTCCAGTCCTCCCTGTCTCCCACCAGCTCCTCCTGTGTCCCCTGACTCTGTCTTAATCTCTTGTCTCCTTCTTTAATTATTATTATTTGTATATATAGATACATTTACACACACACACACACACACACACACAATGCACTGAGTGTATTAAGGAGTGCTCATGCATACCTGTGTTGAGGGCTGTCCGTTTGGGATTAAATAACATCTTGGGGACCAAGTCTCTAGAACGAAATGACTCGCCCTCCTTCATCATCCATTGATTGCTGCCTTGATATCCCCTAGGGAGGATTATACCTGACTAGTCTTTTATAAACCTTGGATGGCTTCTAAGATCACAGTGGAGGAATATCCATTTTCTGCCTCTGTAGTTCCTGAAAATAACAAAGCAAGAAACCTCTGGTCACTTTATTCTTGCACTATTTTTTTACTCATGTGTACTAAAAATTATGATCAATGTGCCTTTTGAAATGTGTGCGAATGTGTCTGTTACATTTGGATTATTAAGAGCAAGTAGTCCTGGGCTTGTCCTCTGAAGATATTACACCAGAATCTCTGGTCAGATTGGCAACCTAACAGTTCAGTTAGGCTAGGTCAGTCACCTGGCCAGAACAACACCCTTAAGAAGGTAGGTTCACCTTAATTCATGCTAAAGATACTGGTACAATAATTAGTTCTTTAATGAGTTGCAGGGGGTTCAAACCCACACAGTGATGATTAGGGATGAGTAAGCACAACGTTCATCAGCCCACGCAGCCCCCAGTATCGGGAACACTCAGGTGCAATGGGGAGCCTAGTCAAGCAGGGACTCATTTATCGAAGGTGTTACAAAGCTTATAAAGGCTCCTGGAAATCCCCTCTCCCCCTGAGGGTGTATCTTAAGGATGGTCACACACTGATCATGCACTCCTCAGCAGTGCGGAAGTATTCTTCAAACTTTCAAAGCAAGCTAGGCCATGCCCCAGTAACTTCCTCTCAGACCTATACAAGGTGGGGCCTTTAGGTCCCCACAATGAGCTGCTGTAATTTTCCTTCTGAGAATCCCTATTCCTATCACTGTAGCTTACCACACCACAGACACGCAGGTTTGCAAGTCTGTCAACTATTCTGAATTTTTCAGAAAAGCATAACTTCTTGTTTTCTTTTTTCTGTCGCTTTCTCAACATGCTTTCCCCAACACTTTAGGTTTCCACAGCCTTTTGGTTGTGTTACTCTTACTCTAAAGCCCCTATAGCCACCATGTGGCTACTAGTCCTCCACGTGTCAGACCTCTATGCCAGCTTAAACAGCACATTTGTTTCCTTCTCTCCTCCATTTCCTTATCTCTGCAGTTGAGATTTACAGTGTGAATGAAAGTTCCCAGAAAAACCGTATTTTAAAATTGAACATTGTGCAAATGTTGATTAACTGATTAGAACTTAGTGATTGTAGACAGTTTGGAATGTTGCAGGTCCTAAGCCTAATTACCATTTATCTTGGGCTATCTTTAGCCCCCTAACTGGCCACTTCTTGCCTACCCTTTATCTGACTTGTCCTGAGACTAACCAATAAAAACCTTTTTGAATGTATTAACTTAGCAGGCCACCAACTTCCACCAAGCAAAACACTGAGTGTCTTCAGATAGCATCTGGGTCCTATAGCTGAGATTTCTCTTTTGCTGTATCTGCCTACTTAACATTTCCATCAATGTATTTGACTAGTGTCTTGTTATATTACTTTTCTTTGTTCTATTAATATAATAACTTCATGGTACTGGGAAACGTCTCAAGAGAATTTGCAACAGTGGTGTCATCATGCACAAGACTCATGCAAACTCAGAACCCAGCACAGAACTGGGGAAATGGACAGCAGGCCCCAATCTTAGTCAAGGAAGTATCGGCAGATGATTACTGCTGTGGAGGAAGAGCTGATCTTCTTAAAGGGAGGGAATCTAGATAGGCTGACTAGACCTCAGTGGCTGAACTTGTACTGAGGGACATCTGGAGACACTAACTTGACATGATAGGCCTTAACACAAATGACAGAATGTATGAATCTCAGTGGGGGGGGTGCTATGAGAGGGGACCAATGGGGAAGGGGATATAAAGATGATTAAGATGTTCTGTATGAAATGCACAAAGCCAGGCCTGGTGGTGCACACATTTAATCCCAGCACTCGTGAAGCAGAGGCAGGCAGATCTCTATTAGTTCAAGGCCAGACTGGTCTATATAGTGAATCCAGGCCAGCTGTGGCTACAGGGAGACCCTGTCTCAAACAGACCCCCCCAAAAAAAAACCTTCAAAAAGAAATGTATGTTAATCACTTGGATTCCACAACTGAGGGCAGAACAGACAAACAACACTTAAGCATTTAGTGCTGAAATGAGCAGTGCTGAATAAAGGCACAAATTCTTAGACAATTTTCCTCCATTTCTTTTATTTACCAACTGCAGCCACAATTTCTAATCACAAAATGATCTTGACAAACGTAACCACAGTGAGTGGCTTCCTCCTGCTGGGGCCCTCTGACAACTGGGGGCTACAGATCCTACACGCTTTGCTCTTCTTGGTTACCTGTTGGGTTTGACAGGTAACCATCATCATCACCATCACAACTCTGAACCTGGACCTGCAGTTCCAATCTCTAATATATTACTTCCCAAAGCACCTTTCCCTTCTCAACCTCTCCTCCCTGTCTGTCTCTGCTCCCCAGTCTATGCACAATTCCCTGACTGACAGTGGACACATTTCCAAGCTAATCAGCAGCCTCTGATGTTTCCTTTCTAAAATCATCAAATTTAAAATCCTGTTACTGAAGACAAGCTTGATTTTGAATGGTTTGGGGAATGGGTAGAGCTTTTAATGTGAGGCCTGAACTGATTGACAGATGTGGTTTGTGGCGGGTGATTTTAATGTGATGTCTGAGCTGAATGACAAATGTGACTTGTTTTCTTGGCTCTTTTGCCACTTGAGAGTCAAGCCACAGAAATTTCCACACAACAGGCAAGGGACTTGGTGAGTTTGGGGTTTTAATGTCCCCAGCTCAGTGGTTCTCAAACTCGGCTGTACTCAGAATCTCCTGGAGCTGATTACAGCCCAGAGACCTGGACCCCATACTCAGCAAAGCTGATTGCAAACTAGACCTGGGCCGCATTCAGCACAGCTGCTTGCAACCTATAGAACCAGGCCTATACTCAGCAAACCTGGTTACAACCTAGAGACCCAGGCCCATACTCAGCAAAGCTAGTTACAACCCAGAGACTCAGTCCCCATACTGTGCAAAGCTGGTTGCAACCTAGAGACCCAGGCCCCACCCTGGGCAATTGTGGCTCAGGCCTCAGGTGACACTCAGGAAGCTGAGTGCCTAACAGGCTCCTGGGTGTGCTGCTATCTGACCACCCTTTGTGAATTGCTTCTAGCTAAATCATATATTTCTGAAAGTCTAATTGGAAAATTTTAACTTCATCTTTTTTAAACAAAAGATTCTCTAATGTCAGGCTTTGGAGGAAACTAGACTTCATGGATCATAGTCACCTTTAAGTTTAAAATAGGTGCTTAAACATGGAATCTCATAGTTTTTCCTTTTAAATTTTAAAACTTCATTTTATTTTGGGCACAGTGTATTAAGATTCAGAGAAAAGAAAAGAGAGTAGAGTTGCGGAATTAGAAGAGGAACAGTGCCAGACCTTCAACAGATGGAGATTGTGTTCACTCAGCACAGTGTGGGGCAGCAACCTTTCCTAGGGATGTAGGCTTCTTCAAGGAGAGAAGGGAGTGGTTGGAGATTATATAGGGCACAGCAGGCTACATGCATGTCAGGGACACTCTTGTGAAATTTATGTCGCCCTCTTTCCTGAGACTATTTTCATGAGTTTATTTTGGGAAATAGTCCTGAGATAATGGATGTGGCTACTGTTAACAGGGGGGCAGGGGCAGGACATCTCTCTCAGAGAACTAGTTTCTGTCATTGCTGACCTTGAAGATATAAAAAGAAAGGAATGGGGGCCATCCTTTCTCTTTTAACTGAGGAGTCCTCAGGTGTCATGGTGTGGAAACATAGCCTTAATTTGATCTCAGGTAGCTACTTGGGCAGTCAGGAGATTCTGTAAGACTCTTTGGAGACAACAGTTGATTAAGCATAGTCCAATGATCTCAAGTATCCCTAGACAGTGATGAGTTAGTGGAAGGAGGAGGTGGAGAGGAGTTGCTACTATAAGACATCTCTGAATAGCATTTTTATCAAGGAGAAAATTTTAGTGAGAATTTAAAAATATCATCCCATATAAACTTTTAAGTCTAATGTCTGGGAAGTCTAATTTCTCAGACTCTAAAAGAAACATATTGATTACCTTAATTTTTGGTTATAGTTTTTATTTGGGTGTTTAAGACCATAGAGTTGGCCCAAATTAAACAAGGTTTTGTTTCTTTCAAGGTCGGTTGAGGATCTGATTATCCAGGGTCACTGAGGCTTTGAGGGGAGCCTCTCATTCCTTTGGCTTTTCATTTACCAGTTTCATCTAAGTGAGGATAAGTCAGAAGGTTCTGCTTGACCATGGTTTCACTTGGAAGAATGGAGGAAATTATCTTCTGGGTTGGCCATCCTCCTTGTAGACTGGACACTGGTTTGACTCCCTCTAGTGGGGTCTACTTGATCTACTCTGAATGAGAGAACAGGTAACTCATCACAGTTACAGGATGTTTTGTGATGCCTATAGTCGCCTAGGACCTGGTCAAAATTAGAGGACAAGAAACACAAAATTGTCCCTTTAGGTCCCTTTTATCAGAATACTATAGGTATTTAAGTATTGTTATTAAGTATCCAAAAAGGTCAGTTACACTACTCTGGCACTTTTACTTGTGTAATATGTAAATAAAGCTTTAAAAACTCCAAACATTCTTGAATAAACCATGACTAGAAGAGATTTAACATCACAGGTTAAGTAGGCATAGTCCAGGAAAGGGATTTTAAAACAATTTTTCTTAGGTCTGTCTCAAATGAAGGCTTTTCTACTATGAACAAAAGCAGTCTCCAATACCCTGACTTATAGTTCTTCAGAAGCGAATGGTCACATCATATACA